TTTATCTCGTTTTCAATGAGTTCAGGATCAACCCTTTGAAATTCACAGCCAGTTTCAACCGGCAGTCCCTTGTTGGGTAGGTACTTCAGTGGGTCATCGCAATCTTTGGTTTCAATATTTTCGGCTAGTTTAGGGCCTATGGAGATAAAGTGCCTGTTAAAGGCCTCTGCAATTTCATCAGGCTTCTCAACACGTTGAACTTCAAGGATAATTGACAAAGGAGGACTATGATTTGAATGTTTGTCTAATACCTTGTTTATTATTTTCCATATTCCATTCGGATTATTTGAATTGTCATCTATCATGTTACTGTAGTAAGAAACAGCAGCTTTTTTGAGTTGAGAAGGTTATCGTTTCGAAGCTGCTTATATCTTGGCCATAGTGCTGGATCTCGCTCAGCCCGTCTCATAATCCTTGTGTCATTTTTGCTGGGCCTGAAAGCTTTCGGGAAACGATAAGTTACCTTTAAGGCTGTTGAAAAAACAGAGGGGCAGTTCACTCTCGCAAATAGCGTACGAGATTTTTTCTAAAACAAGAGGATTTCCATGGATTTTCAGATAAAACAATAGGACTTTCACAAAGGTGTACGAGCTTTTCAAAGAGTAATTTGCCCCTCGGAAAAATCTGGAGTTACGAAATATGCTCTTAGCTCTTAGTCAAAAAATTTGATTTCTTAGTGGAAGAAAATGCCGTTTAGCTGTCATAGGAATATCAACTGGCGCATTATCTTTTTTTGCAAACAATTTTGACTTGAGTGGGGGATGTTGGATTATGATAATCAAGTTGTAAATAGCTTTGAAAAAAGCAAACATTTAGTAAACTAAAGCTTTTCGTCTGACACTCTTCAGAGTTTAAAACGTCAGAACATAGATCGAAAACTCTACGCTAAAAAATATATATACCCAGTTGTGGATCGGAATAGGCCAATCAGAAACACGAGCACATGACTGTAAAGGTTAACCACTTGCTTATGTAGATAGATTCTAAAACTGCTAGGTGGAACTCCGATCGGGCTTTACCAATAATCCGAAACATGTCGCCATTATAGTTTTTTGCAAAAGATTGTTTGCATATTTCAAGCAGAGGTACACAAATGAGGAGATTGAGGATCTCAACGCATTGGTTAAGCTTAGAGGTAAGCTGAGGTCGGCCAGGTTCTCTTTATCCTTTCTCAGTTTATGTTTCACTAATCGGGTTGCACCTAAATTCATCACCGCTCGTATTTCTAAGTCTGGTGTTAGACACAGCCCAACCATTGAGCGCGCTTTTCTACAAGATGAAATTCAGAAAACTAAAACTAATATTCTGAATCTAAAACGTTTATACACACGCCAATGGTCTAAAACGCGTCCGTTTCTCACATTCTTTGATAATTTTCGACTTTGCCGCTACTTTTCTGAAATTGACCAGCGGAAGCTAAAACAGACTACAGAAAAACATGATAGAAACATTGGCATGCTAGTTAGGAAACGTTTTGGCGGCTTGATGAGCGATCCAAAAAAACATATTTTTAATTTGTCGGACTATTCTCTCTCTGAAACCGAAACATTTGTCTTAGGTAATGGTCTTGAGTTTTGTATCTCACCACAACGAATAAACAGAGAGGAACTTTTTGCTGAATTCGAAATTTTACACGCTCAACTTTCCAGACACGATATTTCTGATGCTTTGGAATTTAACAAATTACGAGCAAGACTAAGCGATTTGGCGTACGCTTACAGCGGCTCTCCCATCGACCACTCAGATTTTCTTTTGCATAGAGAACATTTTCAAGCATTAAAATCTCTACGGTCTAATAATGACATCTTTATTACAAAGCCTGATAAAGGGTCAGGAGTGGTTATTTTGAACAAAAAGGACTACATCCAAAAAATGGAGAGTATTCTCCTCGACAAAGAAAAGTTCGAAAAATTGGGTGACGTCGAAACACAGGATAAAACGGCCAAGCTAGAGCGGAAACTTCAAAAACGCCTTTTGGAGCTGGTTAACTCAAAAGTGTTGACCAACGAAGTTTATGATAGGATAAGACCCACAGGTTCACAACGTCCACAAATGTATGGCCTCCCTAAAATACACAAGCCGAATGTCCCACTTAGACCCATTTTGTCTATGATTGGTTCAGCACAACACGAACTGGCTAAGTGGCTTTCTGAAGTTTTGGACCCTGTTCTTCAAAAATATTCAAAACATTGTATCAAGGACTCTTTTACATTCGCTGAGTTCATGCAAAACTTGAACATCGAAAACGAAAATTCTTTTGACATTAGCAGTCTTTTCACTAATGTCCCTTTGAATGAGACCATCAAAATATGTGCCGACGCTTTGTACCGGAGCGAGCTTAATAGCCCACCATTCCCAGAGGAAGTATTCATTGAACTGATGGAAACTGCAACACGTTCAGTTGAATTCAGCTTTAACAATGAAATGTACCAACAAAAGGATGGTGTCGCTATGGGTAGCCCTCTGGGACCTGCATTGGCCAATATCTTTGTTGGCTTTCATGAAGAGCGTTTGTTTGACTGCGACCAAAAGCCAGGTGTCTATTTTCGGTATGTGGATGACACATATACTATTTTCAAAACAGAGGCTGAGTGTGATATTTTCCTAAAACGCCTTAATGGTCTTCACACAGCCCTACATTTTACATTTGAAAAGGAAGAAAATAACTCCTTGCCATTTCTTGATGTTTTGGTTGAATAATCTGACACTGGATTTCTCACCAGTGTATACCGTAAACCCACATTTTCGGGGTTATACACTCGATGGAGTTCGTTTTGCCCAAAACAAAGAAAAATCAGCCTCATCAAAACGCTCACACATAGGGCACTGATGATTTGTTCCAAGTCTAAACTCGACTCGGAACTTGAAAAACTAACTAAGATTTTTCTGGAGAACGGCTATCCAGAACATGTTATTTCAGTTTACATTAAGGAGAAGATAGGAAATTTCTCGGCTGACGTAAAATTTGGTCCTCAAAAGTGCCCGGTCTATCTAAAACTACCCTGGATCGGTAACAGCTCCCTACGTTTTGAAAGCAAAATAAAACAGGCCATAACAAATTCTTTCTTCGCGGTTAACCCACGTGTTGTTTACAGTACAAAAAAGGCCCTTCCGTCCATTCAAAAGGACTGCGTTCCTGCCACAAAAAAAAGTTCTGTTGTGTATGAATTCACGTGCCAGTGTGATTCTGGCTACGTAGGACGCACCACCCAAAGATTGGAGGATAGGATAAAACAACACGTTCCATCTAATATTAGAAACAAAACACATCCCCAAAGAGAACAGCCACCTCGGTCTTGCAAATCCAAAATTACTAATAAGACCTGCGATTCTGCTATCTGGCAGCATTTGCTAGAAAACCCAGTTTGTGCAAAAAACTATAATGGCGACATGTTTCGGATTATTGGTAAAGCCCGATCGTCGTTCCACCTAGCAGTTTTAGAATCTATCTACATAAGCACGAAAAAACCGCTACTGTGTAGACAAAAGGAGTTCGTTTTCACCTTAGGACTCCATTGGTAACATTCTAATATGCAAGCGGCACTGATTGGTCAACCTTTACAGTCATGTGCTCGTGTTTCTGATTGGCCTATTTCGATCCACAACTGGGTATATATATTTCTTAGCGTAGAGTTTTCGATCTACGTTCTGACGTTTTAAACTCTGAAGAGTGTCAGACGAAAAGCTTTAGTTTACTAAATGTTTGCTTTTTTCAAAGCTATTTACAAGTTTTGTACCACCAAAAGATTGTTTGATAATCAAGTTCAGTGAAATATTTTTTAGTCACACTCGCAGCTCCCATCCACCAACGTTTTTTCTTGAATTCAAATTTCTTGAACAAAGCAGGTTGCAGGATCGCTTTTACCGCTGTCTCAACTATATTTCGTTTGTCTTTTGGTTTTTGCTTGATCCACCAACCCCCCCCCCCCCCGCTTTTGCGATTTTATTGCAGTTATGAAAATAAAACATTTGGAAAAACGGCATCAGTTTTTAAACAAAGTAGACTCCTTTTTCATAAGCTTAGAGGTCCTTCCAATGTTTGAAAGCATGCTGGTTCGAAGGTATCATGGCATGAAAATAAATTTTATGTGGATATTAGCGTCCTAGCAGACCTGCAGCTAGGATATTATGGCTGCTTTATTCTAATATATGAAGTGCCTGACAGTTTTTTGTCCTTTTATCAGAATATTTTCAACAAAACACGAAATTTCACTTGTACTTTCACCGTTACGGTGAAAGCCTTTACAACGACATTGTTAACATGTCACTTGTGACGTCAACTGGGAATTTCAACAACCCCTGGCAATAACCTTGTTTCCGCTTCGGGAAATTCCCGAGTCCTGGCTGTGACGTAATTGACGGATAAAAGTGGAAATATGAGAAAAATGGTGAATCTAAGAAAAACCATTTTACCAGATTTGAAGTCAGCGACAAATTCTGCATGGAATAAGCCAAAGTTATTTTTGCGTGTTTGTTCTCCTTCAACAATTGTAATTGATCTAACTGAAGCCTAGCTACTCCTTCTACGACTCAAAGCTTTTGATCTGAAAGATTGTTAGAACAAGGTAAATTTTTCAAAACTGTTCCCAAAATAACAAGGCAAAGAAAACAAATTGCTTAGGTACATATGCAAACGATTCTAGATATATAATGTTTTGAAATCGGCGAAGATAGGGATAAGAAACGCGTTGCTATATGTATCCAAGACTAGGTTGTGAGTCACCATGGCTGTAGTAACTTAATCACGTGACAGGTGAGAATAATCTATAATAATTTAGGACAAAAAGCGTAAAATATTTAAGCAAACACAGTTCTCATGGCAAGAATGTATTTTAAGCAGTCAAAAAAAATTTGCTTCTCATGTCCTTGGCATCACGCAAATCTGAAAAGAGGTGCCCACTGTCTCAAATTATAGCTTTATATCACCTGTTTGCAATATCTCGATTTTGATAGATGATTTTTCGAGTCTGTAACTCATTTCAACTAATTTAGCATTTCAACTAGGAAAACCAAAACATTGAAAATAATCTGCTCTGATTCGCAATCAGAAACAATTTTCTACCTTGCCAAAGGAAGTCGTTTGGACATCGGCTTGATGCGTTTGTGAAAAACTGGTAAGCACAGGAATTCTAATTTTATCATAATAACATTTGATAATGTTGAGCGTTTATCAGAGTAATTTTCGATGGAAAATCAACGTAAAGTTTCAAAGTTTATTTCTAGGCCCTGCTAACTATGTTTGACCTTTTTGACCTTTGAAAACTGTAAAACTTTTAATACATCTATTAACCCTTAGGTAGTGCAATATTCTAACGCCATGTTTCCATAAAAATCATTTTGAATTGCTTTTGATAACTTAGACTTTTCGGCCCAATCTTTGGAGGTCAGCTAGAGCAAATATTCATTTGGCAGAAGCTGTTGTGTTACCTAACATGCAGTAGTATTTTTGAAATCGTTCTTGATATTTTACACTTGATTAAACCACACGTTGTTTCCATTCGCTCCCCTCTTGGGAGACTTACCAAATACAACAGAAGCCAGATTGATCAGGTGAGTATTTTAAAAGCAAGCCGAACAATTTCGCAGGCTCTTATGTAATAGGCCACTCATTCAAAGTGAATTATTTTAAGGAAGCATCTTCTGTAGGAATCATGAAAGGCAGAGGATGACTAGCAGATAAAGTTTCTTCAAGAAAGATGGACAGTTTTTAAGGTAAATATTTATTATACGCATTTTACATTTTTCTATATGATATAATATGAATAGGATATAAATGAATAAATAATTATACAGAACATAAACCCTTCAGCATCAAATAAGAACTGTTAACAATCTAATGAAAAAACAAAAATACGAATAATAAGGGACATCTTGACGAAAGATACTGTGTTGCACACCTTGTAAATTGGGACTTTTCTGGGACAGATAAGTAAAATTAAAACCTTTCAGGGACAGTAAGAGCAAAATTGGGACCTTTCTGGGACAGCATGTATAGCACTGGGTGTTTTCTGGAAGAGCATAAGAAAATTTAGTACGTTTTTGGTACAGCATGAGAAAAATTGAGACATTTCTAGGGCAGCATGAGTAAAACTGGGACCTTTCTGGGACAGCACCAGTAAATTTTGAGCCTTTCTGGGACAGCATGAGTAAAATTGATACGTATCTGGGACATCATGAGTAAAACTGGGGCTTTTCTGGGACAGCACGAGTAAAATTGAGACATATCTGAGACATAACGAGTAAACTGGGGTCTTTCTGGGGAAGCATGAGAGACGTTTGAACATTTCTGGAACAGTATGAGTAAAATAGAGGCCTTTCATTTTTTTGGGACAACATGAGTAAAACTGGGGCCTTTCTGTGACTGCCTGAGTAGCATGAGGACCTCTCTGGTAAGTTTCCAGCTTTATATGTTTAAAATGACTGAAGAGCTTCCGAATTTCTAATTCTTGTTTCCAAACATAATTGTATGAGTTCGTTGCTAATTTTATGATAAATCAGTACGTTTATGCAAAGAAAATATCTCGCAAGAGCCAACATTGTGCTTTACAGTGAAATAAAAGAATTTCAACGATGAATGGAAGACTCTTGTAATTGCAGTCTTGTTGAACACATTTCTTTGAAAAAACCGTCAGTTTCCACGCAAGAGGATGCTGGAAGTGTGTTTTCTACAGCAAAATGCTATCCTTGTTCTATGCACAAAAGAATGTGTATTTGGAATAAAAACGTTGAATTATTAAGCATAGGCAATTCATTGCTTTTCTTGTCAGTCAACTTTAATGAATATTAGTAAAACGTAACAAAGACATGGCGTCCATTTTGGAAGGACTTTTAAAAGCAATCATCAAGATGCTGAAGAATAGAAGATTAATCTTTTTTCTTAGATCAAAGCAAATCATTGAGAAAAAGAGGAAAGCAGATTACCACAGCTTGCGCAGTGAATACTTTAGAAGCCACAAACCAACTTAACAAGACTTACGGACAAAAACAACGGCTTTAGACCAACAGGAGATTTCACCGCAACTTTTTAAACTTGAAGGATGAAGTAAACGTAAAGAGAGAAAGCTATTGAAATAAACATATACTAACGGGAATAATACTTGATTTTGAGGCTGCTTGTAAAAATCATTGAAGCTTAGAGGATATCATTTTCAAAGAAAACTCATGATAGAAGAAAATGGCAGGTAGGAACTGCGAATTATTGCGTTTATACAGCGTTGACGCTATTCTTGATAACTTTGTCGAATCTTAGGTCATTGCATCATATTGCACAAATTTAAGGCAAAGTGGTTGCAAAATTCGTTATCAACCAAACAATTTTGATGCGTGGTAAACAAAAGAATAAGAACAGTGAGACAATCCATGAACATTGATAGCAAGCAGCCACGGAGGTAAAAATATCATCGCAAATAATGGACTATTTGCTTCTTACTAAAACCATGACCGTACTACCGTGTTCTGCTGCATACTGTCAACTGCTTTCCTTCTAAGGATGAGTCCACGTATTGTATTAAATATACGAGGGGTTCACTTTGAAACTTATGAAGAAACACTTTCGCGTTTTCCAAACACTTTGCTTGGCAGCACAAATCTCCGAAAACCATATTGGAATAGAGAGAAGAATGAGTACTTTTTTGATAGAAGTCACCATTTATTTGACACGATTTTATTTTTCTACCAATCAGGAGGTATAATTGCAAAGCCAGAATGCTTTGATGAAGACGAATTTCAAAACGAGCTTCGATTTTTTGGAATAATAAAGGAGCAGTCAGATCTCTCTCTAGTGCAGAATAGAAGATGTGGATTGGTGAATTTTTTGCGGTTATTGACCGATTATCCGCAGTCATCATTGTTTTCCAAACTATTTGCTGCAATTTCAGTGATAATGATTACCATATCAACTATAACATACTGCCTAGAGACAGAAGACATATTCATGTGGAAAAAGGATGAAGATGGAATCTTCGCTAATGGAGAAATTTATCGGAACAGCTTATTTTTTGTTTGCGAAACAACATATGTTTGCTGGTTTGCTTTGGAGTATATTCTGCGACTTATCGGCAATCACTCAAGAGTAAGATTCCTTTTCTCACCTCTTGGATTTGTCGATTTACTTTCCATTGTGCCATACGCAATAATGGCTTCCGGTATTCTGGTTAAATGTAAAGCAGCTATAAGAGTTTTAAAATTTGTACAAATCTTTAGAATACTGAAGATTTCTCGCTACAGCAACAGTTTGAAGCTTTTGGGAAGATCATTATTTTACTGCAAAGGTCAAATATCTCTTCTACTAATATTCTTTTTCATTAACTGTCTTGCTTGTGGATCTGTCTTGTATTGGGTCGAAAGAACTGTCTGTCCCTCATCTTCTACCAGTCTTATGGACACAATTTGGTTTTGTATTATTTCAATGACAACCGTAGGCTATGGGGATATTGTACCCCGTACATCTCTAGGCAAACTCGTCGGCGCAGTCACAATCTTGGTTGGCATTGTCATACTCTTTCACATTTTCATCCCAGTTTATCTATCCTATTTTGCATTGCTTTATGAAATTTCAATTCTCCAAACTTTGGAAAGAAATGGAAATGAAATAGATGTACAACAGGAAGAGCCAGACGATATAAAGAACCACAGGCGGAAATCGATAACTTCGTCAGTACGAAAGTCTCGTGCATCAGTTGTGATAAGCAGATCTCCTAGTACGTGTGTAAAGGAATCAACATCAGCAAACAGAAAGCTGTCTTTTACGATTAAAGAAGACAATGCAATGAGAAGAGTGAAATATGACTACCTGAGAAAGCTTTCATCAACTGAATCCCCACTTTCAATGAGTCAGAAATCTCTCGAACATCCATTCACCGAAAGTGTCTTACAGTCTAGAAACGTAAATTCATCCATAAAGATGGAACACTCTTACAATGAATATGCAGGAATACAAGAGCATGAGCCAAAGAACTTTGATTATCAAGAAGAGGATGTTCTTTTCCCAAAGATATATAGCAGTTCCTCCTCAGGAAGGAGTAGAAGACAAGCGGTTTATGAGCAGCCAATATTGCATCAAGATGAATTCGATGCTGCAAAATTGTCACAGGGTAGCAGAAGTAAGATATTTTGTTCTTTGAAATCAAATGAATCCTCTAGAACAAAAGAGGATCATCGGAAACTCTCCCTTAATGTGTCTAAAGGAAATCTTGAAGTGTCAGCAAGGAAGTCAGTATCACTACAGCACGTGTTTTAACGAGATGTTTAGATACATTTATCCAGAAAACCGAGTTTGAATTTGCTGAAATACTTTTGAAATGCTAGGGAAAAACTTGGCAAAGATGCTATTCTTGTGTTTGCCAAAATATTAATACATCCTCGGTGACCATCTATTGTAAAATGTATCTTTCTAACTTGTAACATATTTTCCTTTAGTTAAAATCTCTTGAAAAATACGTCGCAAAAAATGATTTGCACAGAATATAATGTTTTGATTCTAAATGCTAAATTTTCTTCCAAATATTTTGGGGAACTTTACTGTCTTTAAATCAGGTTGATCAGGTTGCAACATCTTCTTTACATTACAAAATTATTTTCTCAAAAAAAAATTATTGATTGAGTCTGGTAAGCGTGATACAGCTGTAAATGAATTTCGTGCTACCAAACGAATAAAGGTTTTTACGTTTAAGCACTGAAAGAACATTCTACTTACCGATTCTCATTAAAAGTATACAGCCTTTAGAGTGCTTTTAAAAAACGGTCGTTGTCTCACAAAGAAAACCGAAGCAATGGAATAAACTATTACTAGCCAGCAATTGCAAAGCTGGTCTCAATTGAATGGTCATGGTCCGTATCAGTACAGAAGACAAATAGGGGTGCGGGGGCGTAGCCAAATAAGAGGAAACCAGACCTTATAAGCTCTTGGAATAGAGAATAATGCCGGTTTTAGTATATTTGAATCAAACATCTTTTGTTGTGTTGCAATTAAGTCTATCAATGATGTCAATTTGTAGGAGATCTTTCTACCCCTAGCCTAAGCTTCCATGTTTTTTAGGCAAATCCTGAAGACCATGTCTTTCAAAGGGTTGCAATAGAGAAATTATTTCAAATACTACTGCTCAGATTGAAAACAGATTGCGGGTGAGAGAACAACATAATATGTACGTTGCGTGTGGTACTTCATCCAGAATAGCATAATATAGTGAGCAGGTGAATTTAGTACCAGAATGAAAATATAATACTTTGATTGTTGAAAACACGACGTTTTGAGCATGTACACGTTATCAAGTGGCTACAAAAGAAACGAGCCGAGCAAAGAGAAGGCGAGATCCGATATATAGAAAAGAATGCGAGATGCGATGCAACTGAACAAACACAGAATAAGGGAATGGGAGGAAAATAAGAAAAGAGTAGGAAATAGATATGAAAAGAAATTATTGAAGGAAATTAAAATATTTATTAAGACCATTAGGATAAAGAGTTTTTAGGCTGAAAATTAAACGTCTTGCGGTGCATGCTATAAGCCAAGGATGGATATGTCGGCAGTAGAATAATTGGATGAGTTGAAATGTGTAGATATGTTGCTATCTGCATCGCCGTGGTGTTCTTCTGTCAGATGGATTTTGTTAGCAACATTTCTCAACTGTTCTTCAAAACGGTTGTTAATTTGATGAAGGTTTCGCCGATGTAAAGAGATTTACATTTGATGCAGATGATGCAGTAAATCACACAGGAAGAATAAGTGGGGAAGTGAGGTCTGATGTGGAAGGATTGGTTATGGTTGATGATAGTGGTCGGTTGGTTAACGTGTGTGCAAGTACGACAGAGGTGATGTTGGCAGGGGTAAGTACCAGGCTGCGATGTTTGGTTTAAGTGATGTTGTGAGTGTTCTGACCAGGTAGTCCTTTCAATTCCTGTCTCTGCGGAAAGGCAGTAGTGGTGGTGCATTGAAGATGTTCTTTGTTTCAGTGTCATTAATAAGAATATGGAAATTGTTATAAATAATGTTCTTTATGCTGTGAGGACAGTTAGGGTGGTAGGTCAAGGTGAAAGGAACGCGGTTGTTGTTGTTTTCTTTGTTGGATTGTAGAATGGCATCATCTTGAGAAAGTTGTTTTACTTTATTGAATGCTGCTTGGGTATTATGGTCAGCAAGTGCGTGAACTGCACTGGTTTTATTGTTGGACATCCTCCTGATGTCGTTTTTTTGAGAGAACAACATATCTACAAATATTTTGATGATATTAAAACTTTCTCTTAATTAGCTTATTCAAATCAGCAGTGGCTAGGAAATATCTATTCCAATACTGTTACTAATTGACATCTTTTATAATCTTTCCGAATTAAGATGAAAATGTCTTTGAGAAAAGTAAACATTTTACGGCATACTAATTGCTTTTTCGTCTGACACTCTTTAGAGAATAAAACGTCAGGTTCTAAAAGAACAGGATGAAAAATAAATACCCAGTTGTGAATCGAAGTTAATAGAAAGTTATCGTTCTGCTCTGTTCAACCCATGCGTTGTTCAAACCATCTCCTTCATTTCTTAACATTGGCGACGAGGATGTCTGTACAACTCAATCAGGGGCGGACTGGCTGGTCGGGCTATTCGGGCGATCGCCCGAAGGGCCGGTCTGTTTAAGGGCCGGTTGATAAAAGTGCAAAAAAATAAATCAGCTTAAAAAGTGAATGCGAGGCAAAAAGTATACCCACACGTTGATCTGTTTGCCTTGATTTTTCAGAGACTTTGTGGGAAAGGATAAATATACACGCGAGTTTATTTATTGTCAGCGCAGCCCAAACACACTTCTTCAGAAAAAATGTTATTGAAAATTTTTTATATTTTCTTTATATTTCCTTTTTGGCAACATATTATACTGTAACACCCCTGTTTCAATGCGATACATAAGATTTTAACCTGCCTTGATGTCTTTTCACTTAGCTTTTGCTTGAAGCTGGTCATGTTTTTCCCTAAGCACAAGCTATTGCTAAATGTAATAAATTCACTAAGCAATTTGCTCTGTGATGTGAAGCAATGAAGAGGACATACGTAGAACCAGTGGTGTACCCAAGGGGGGGAATAGGGGGGTCCGGACCCCCCACACCAGTGGTGTACCCAAGGGGGGGAATAAGGGGGTCCGGACCCCCCACTTGTGATCTAAAATGTGATCCTCGAGATTTGTCTAAAAACGATGTAAAACTCATTGAGGTGGGGTGGGGGGGTTTAGTATACTGTAGGCTTGTGTCAATAACAATTGTAAAACACTTTCCTATTTACTGTAGCGAACATGAACCAAATAATGGCGGAAAAGTTTGCAAAAAGGGCGTTTCTCTGCATTTGCGAGTGTTTGAAGGGTGTGGTCCAAAAAATTTCTGGGGGCTGCGCCCCAGACCCCCCCGACTTCTCCGGCCCTGGGTACGCCACTGCGTAGAACAAGGGAAGAGCAAAAGGACTTCAACCAAAGGTGATGCACAGAAATTTCGTGAGGAAAAGCTGCGAGACTTAAAAAAAGATTCAGCGATACAAACGATACAAAGCTTTTTTTTATCAAGCAAAAGCCACAAACGTCACAAAAAACAGCAGGGTCTTGCTCTTGCTCCTTTCAATAAACTCATACAAGTTTTTGTAAGTTTATCATTAGGCCTATACTATCACAAGTCAAATGCACCCCCGCCCCACAGGGGTATGGTGCTACACGATAAAATTTCAACAGGGGTGCCCATTTTTTGGGGTCAGAAATTAACAAATCGATTTTTTTGGGCTGCTGAAAATCATTGTGGTTTTCCGGAGGATTAGAAAATTATTTGTCACAAGTGGAGTGTGATAGAAGCTTTTCCGCTTTAAATATATAAAGAACAGATTACGTAGTAATTTTCCGCAGCCAAACCTGGAGTCCTTCATGTTAATGTTCTTAGAAAAACACCTGTTGGATGACATCCTGAACGATCACATTATCAACATATAAGTTACTATATTTAGAAACAAAGTCAAACCAAGGAGTTAAATTTTTTGTTTATTTACTGTTTAGTCAACAAATGACATATTTATCATGTTCTGTTAAGCATATTCTGTTATGCTTATTCACTTGTTATGTTATGCAAGCATTCAACCATGCACAAAATTACTGAATTTAAAAACTTGTTTTCCTTGCAGACTAACATTTACTCGTATTTTCCGAGGATTTTTTTATTTGCTATTATTGTGGGCCGGTTTGATCAAAATTTGCCCGGGCCAAAAAAATTAGCCAGTCCGCCCCTGAACTCAATCCATTACCACCATTCGATCCGAATGCAGAACTTGGAGCGAATGTTGCTGCCAGATGGAAAATTTGGCCACATGACTTTGATACTTTTCTTGTGGCTAGCGGATTTCGAGACGCTAGGCGCCAGAAGGCCTTGTTACTTTATCAAGCTGGACCTAAAGTTCGTGAAATTTTTAATCAGTTGAGTGATGACGACGGAGAAGGGGATGAAAACAACTTTGCGACAACAAAAGACTAGCTCGTGGAGTACTTCGAGCCGCAGCAAAATCGGCTGTGCGAAGTTTATCGCTTTTGTGAAACTCTTCAAGAAGATCAAGAATCGCTCGATACATTTCATACACGACTCAGGCAGATATCCAGTACATGCGAATTCGAAGATGTAGACTTTGAAATCGAGGAACAAATAATTGTCGATCTTCCCGAATAAGACACCAAGCTCTGCGTGACCCTACGTATACCATTAAAGACATGCTGATTGATGGAAGACGGGGTGAAACCAGTTCGTATCGAGCCCAAGATAAAGAAACAATACACGTACAAACGGAAACAACGCACCGTTTGACAACGACAAATCATCAAAATGCAGCCCTGTAGTAAATGTTGCGGTCGCTTGTCACAAGCTCAACATGATAGTGGATACCAGACCACAATCAACGTTATCGATAGAAATACTTTCAAAAAGATGCAAAGAGGCAAGTTACAACAAACAAAAATGAAAGCTTTTCCATTTAACTCTTCGAAACCTGTTTGTTCTGTGGAAAAATTTGAATCGACGATCTCAACAAAATCTCGCTATAGAGTTGCAACATTCAATGTCCTAAACCATCGTAATGCTGGTTGTTTACTTTAAGCCAATACAGCACAAGAACTTGGAATCATAACGCTGAAACTGTACAAACTTTCAGTTTCAGCAACCCCTACAAAACAAATTGATCCGCAAATTGATGCCATAATTCAACGTTTCAACAAAGTTTTTAAAGGAACTGGTAAACTGAAAGGGTACTCTGTGAAGCTGAACATCGACGAAAAGGCAATACCACGTGCACAACCGCAAAGAAGAATTCTTTTTCATTTGAGAAAAAAGTTAAAGAAGCCATCACCCACCTGGAAAATAAGAGGATCATTAAAGCTGTGCCATAAAACGCGCCTTCGCAGTGGGTATCTCCAATCGTCGTAGTACCGAAAAAGGATGGATCTGTTCGTCTTTGCGTAGATATGCGTGTGCCAAATACAGCAATAAAACGTGTACGTTATCCGATCCCTACATTGAATGATATCAGCATTCAACTCAATGGTGCCAAATATTTCAGTTAATTTGAACATAGCCGTTCTATCACTACCTTTGGCACACATGTAGGACTTTTATCGATACACGTGTCTCAATTATGGGACAAATGCTGCTATGGAAATTTTCTAGCATGTTTTACAAGAAACTTTACAAAGTATAAATGGAGTAATGAACATCGCAGATGACATTACTCCATTTCTACTTAGACATTACTTCATTCATTAGACGTATTTTTTGGCAAAACTCACAATGCACACGATTTAGTTTTGCAAAATTATTTGCAACGTCTGCAATCCATGTCCCTTACGCTAAATCTCAAGAAATGTAACTTTTTACAGAAATCAATTCAGTTTTATGGATAAATTTTCACGGAACATGGTATGCAGTCAGATCCAGCATACAAAAGCGATCTTCAGAATGCACCGATACCTACCAATATCAAAGAGGTACGAAGCCTGCTCGGAATGGCAAACTATAGTGCCAAATACATCCAAGATTCTGCGACGCTCGCTGCACCACTTCGAGAGTTGAAAATAAAGAATACGCCATTTGTATGGCAAGCAGCTCAACAGAAAGCATTTGAAAACAAAATTGACTCTGTCTGAAGCTACCGTTATGTAGTATTTCGATACCAATCAGTGGCGTAGCGTGACTTTTTCAACTGGGTATTCTCTATTAAACAAAAGGGTGGGGCAGGGTGTAGCTCGATGGGGCTTGATGAAAATAGGGGTATAAAGGGACTAGCTATTGACATTTTATCTAATTCTCTTTTTGGTTCGGTTGGCAAGTACTGCACTGTCAGGGCATTACTATAATGAAAACGATACTTTGCTAAAGAACCCACGCAAATACACTGTTCAAACTCATTCATTGCATCAAAATACCACTAACCATTTCATCAAAAGTAATTCAAATTAAAACGTATCATTGAAAGTCAGTAAAATTTTGCTGGTCAAAATGTCCCAATAGTTGTTGTTGAATCCTCTAAAATTTGCACTGATGTAAAGAGGAAGTAACTGTAAACACCTACTCTTGATACCTTAATACAAAAGGGCTTACGAAAGTTTTTGAAATTAGTCACAAAGGGCATTACACGAGTTATAAATAGTTTGTGGTATGCAGTCTAGACTTTTTCTTCATGGCCTAATCGTGATATTTTCAATACAAGTTAATGTTTGAAAGAATCGAAGGTAATGAGAAGAGACTGCACAATAATGCAAATAAATGCGCTCCGAATAATGCAAACAAAAAAGGCAAACAATATAACTGAATGCACCAGGCAACTATATAGATATTATCCAGGCCTATCTGCATTTACTTTAATTCTATCACACAATACAAACAGAAGCATCCTTGATTGACAAGGAGTAATAAAATTGGCATTTCAAGAGGGCACAGATCTGAGTCAGTGTAGTATTATGTAGAAGCCTACCTTTCCTTTCCACTTTGCTATTGGTAGATTAAGATTAGGGGTCAAATGAGAGAATGATTATGAAACAGTAATACGGACATTGCAATAGCTTTTGAATGAAGTCATGTTTACTGTTTTCGATGAAGATCCATCACTCCAACCGCTCCGACGTCCATTAACTGTTTATATCGATCTCAAAACGAGACTATTTTGAACCAACTCTGAGGCTGTACGCTGCATATTTCTCAGCGACCATTGTTTTAGCTGATTAACGGCAAATATTATTCATGGAAGGGAGCATTTTGATTGGCTGAAGTACCGTCTAGGGTATTCACTGCGTATTCATGACCGACCTCCATTCAACATGAAGTAGCTCAATCTTCAAAATCAGCTTCAAAGAACTCCCAGCTTCTCTATGCGTCGCAGCGTTATTGTTTCCATGAATTTCGTGATATTTTGTACTTGTACATAATGTAGAATATCGAAGGTAACTAAATCAACCAGAATCAACAGCCCTAAAGCATTTTTTAGTTATTACAATTATACGATCAAAACACACAAAAGCCTGAAATACACGATCAGTTTTTAACTGACAGTTTTCAAACAATCTTTTGG